AGCCGCTCTGAGACACCTTTGGGAAGTGAAGGGCAGGGTATAAATCCAGTCTCCTTCTCCTCCTCCTTCTCCTCTACCACTACTACTACTACAGGTCTCTTCTGAGGCTTTGGTTCTGTCCCACCTCCTTCTGTGCTCTCCCCCCCCCCCCTCCAGCAAGTTAGGGCAGTAAGCGGATCTGCCATGATGGTTTGAGAGAGAGGTGGGAAGGTCACCCTGAAGTCCGGCCAGAAGGGCAGCAGAAGGTATGCAGCCGTTCAGAAGCAGCAAGAGCCCCGCATGCTCCCCTCGGGAAGATTAGGCGCATCCTTCTGGGTGCAGAAATGCATCTTGGGTTTAAGAACCGCGTAGGTCTACAGAACACCCGCATTCTCAATTACCTTTCGTTCATCACTTTATCAACTCAACCATTTAAATCCATTCAGTCTGGGTTAAAAAAAAACAAAAAACACAAAAAAAACAAAATACATACTGGAAATATACACTTCTTTTTTTTTTCCGGCTTCCATGTCTTCACACATTCTAAAAGAGAAAATATTTCATAACCGGGGGGGGTTAGTACTCCCCCAAATTTCTAATTTTTCTATAGGAAAAATTGGAAACAAGGGGCTGAGTTGGGGGGGAATCCTCTCCCCCCCCGGGGGAGGGGCTTCATACGTCCAGGACAGCCCCTTCTGTGAGATCTCAGGGTTGCACAGCTAGAGAAGTGAGTGTTCACGGTGACCCGTTTCCTGTGCTTTTGCACCACCTTTACCACGCGACAGTCACGGTTTGTGGGAGAGGAGGGGGGCTGCCCAGGAGCCCTCGGCTTCCAGCCTTTGCCCCTCTAGGCCCAGGCTGCCCCCCCTCCCCGGGTCCTTCCACGGCCCCCGGGCAAGGAGCCACTCTCTTCCCTTTCTCCACAGTGCCGGGTGATGCGGGACCGGAAGGCCCCCGCCGGGAAGGGCCAGGGCCAGTCCCTGGGCTACGCCTTCGTGGAGTTCCAGGAGCACGACCACGCCCTGGCGGCCCTGCGCCGGGTCAACAACAACCCCCAGCTCTTTGGGGACCAGAAGGTGAGGCACCGCCCCCCCCCCACCCCAGTTCCTTCAAAGCGGGTCTTGTATAAACAGGCTGCTGTGCCCAGGGAGGGCGGTGAAGAGCTGCCCAAGAGGGGAGGTCCATCTAGCCCGGTGTCCCGTTTCCTGTCGCGGCCAGTCTGGCTTCCCTGACGTCTCCCAAGCAAACTCCTGGTGCTGCTGCCCTGAACTACTGTGGCTCGGGGGGGGGGGGGGGTGTTCTGCTGCCTCCGAGTGTGGAGGTGTGGCCAGGAGCCTCCGAAGGGCCTCTTCTCCTTTGGTGCCTGGTCCGTCTCAGTGGGTGGTCCTGGTTGCATCCTGTGGCAGGGAGTCCCGTAGGCCGATTGGCCTTTTCTGTGAAGAGCTGCAGATCGGGCGGCCCTCCATGTGCTGTCACTCCACTCCTTTGGGGAGAGCTGAGCACCCCCGGGTGGGTGGGGCCATGTGGCATGCGCACCCCCCCCAGCTCTTGAAGGGGGGGGGACCAGCACGGCTCCCTCCCCAGGGAGGCTCCTGCTAGAGGGAGGGGCAGCCAGGAAGTGCTGGGGGGGGCAGCCAGAGCAGCCGGCCGGCCGGTGTCCCCGTGGGCGAGGGGGCTCTCCCTGTGGGGGGAGTGCAGCTCTGAGGCCCCGCCCTCTTCCCACAGAGGCCCATTGTGGAGTTCTCCCTGGAGGATCGGCGGAAGCTGAAGCTGAAGGAGCAGCGAGCTCAACACAGTCTGGTAGGAGGCGGCCGTGTGTGTGTGTGTGGGGGGGGGAGGTCCATTCCTTGCAGGATATATTGAGGGGGAGTAGGGAGGTACTGTATTCCACCCCCACCACCACCCGGAGGGTAAGTCCCTCTTGCTTGTGTTTTGTGAGCAGTGTTCCCTCTAAGCTGAGTGAGTGTGAGCTAGTTCACAGTTTTTGAGCCTCTGGCTCACACATTTTTGTCTCAGCTCAGGAAGGAATGGGGCTCCAGAGCAAACTGG